TCGATAAACACCAAATGTCTCATTTTTAGATCGATTTTCTGATTAAATGTCATATTTGAAGAATGATCGATTTTCTGATTAAATGACCCCATTTTGCGAAGTTGGACCACTTATATTATTTCTTGAAAAGATCAGGTGCCAAATGCGAAACTCTAAGCTTTCTTCCCCAATTCGCATTTATACATTAAAAACTTCGCATTTTCATTCAAATTCTTCGCATCTTGCATCCATCCGTCTTTGAGTTCATTCGCATTTCATCGCATTAACTGAGAAATTAATCAGTTGTCTCATATTCGCATTTCAGTTGTTTGAGAAACCCAGATACGAACCCAAATGCGAAACCCACTAATTTCAAATGCGAACCAACCAAAAATCATCAACCACGTACTTGTGTCACCAAATGCGAACTGAATATCACCATTAAATTCTCCTCGCATTCTATAGATGCGAACACAATCCAGATCTCCGACTCCAAGCTTGCGAAATCAAAATCAATTAACCTCAAACAAATCGTGAACTTCTTATGCGAACTGTTTTGACCCACAAAACCAAATGCGAACTCAATTGTTGTCATATGCGAACTGATTTCATAGATGCGAACACAATTGATTTCATATGCGAATCCACATCCATCGATATGAAACCAATACCAGTTACAAGCAATTAGTAGCAACCATCGATCCTCTAATTTTCAAGAACTCAGCCTTCGCTTTTCATACAACCCGTCGACCCTGAAAAATCGATAAACACCAAATGTCTCATTTTTAGATCGATTTTCTGATTAAATGTCATATTTGAAGAATGATCGATTTTCTGATTAAATGACCCCATTTTGCGAAGTTGGACCACTTATATTATTTCTTGAAAAGATCAGGTGCCAAATGCGAAACTCTAAGCTTTCTTCCCCAATTCGCATTTATACATTAAAAACTTCGCATTTTCATTCAAATTCTTCGCATCTTGCATCCATCCGTCTTTGAGTTCATTCGCATTTCATCGCATTAACTGAGAAATTAATCAGTTGTCTCATATTCGCATTTCAGTTGTTTGAGAAACCCAGATACGAACCCAAATGCGAAACCCACTAATTTCAAATGCGAACCAACCAAAAATCATCAACCACGTACTTGTGTCACCAAATGCGAACTGAATATCACCATTAAATTCTCCTCGCATTCTATAGATGCGAACACAATCCAGATCTCCGACTCCAAGCTTGCGAAATCAAAATCAATTAACCTCAAACAAATCGTGAACTTCTTATGCGAACTGTTTTGACCCACAAAACCAAATGCGAACTCAATTGTTGTCATATGCGAACTGATTTCATAGATGCGAACACAATTGATTTCATATGCGAATCCACATCCATCGATATGAAACCAATACCAGTTACAAGCAATTAGTAGCAACCATCGATCCTCTAATTTTCAAGAACTCAGCCTTCGCTTTTCATACAACCCGTCGACCCTGAAAAATCGATAAACACCAAATGTCTCATTTTTAGATCGATTTTCTGATTAAATGTCATATTTGAAGAATGATCGATTTTCTGATTAAATGACCCCATTTTGCGAAGTTGGACCACTTATATTATTTCTTGAAAAGATCAGGTGCCAAATGCGAAACTCTAAGCTTTCTTCCCCAATTCGCATTTATACATTAAAAACTTCGCATTTTCATTCAAATTCTTCGCATCTTGCATCCATCCGTCTTTGAGTTCATTCGCATTTCATCGCATTAACTGAGAAATTAATCAGTTGTCTCATATTCGCATTTCAGTTGTTTGAGAAACCCAGATACGAACCCAAATGCGAAACCCACTAATTTCAAATGCGAACCAACCAAAAATCATCAACCACGTACTTGTGTCACCAAATGCGAACTGAATATCACCATTAAATTCTCCTCGCATTCTATAGATGCGAACACAATCCAGATCTCCGACTCCAAGCTTGCGAAATCAAAATCAATTAACCTCAAACAAATCGTGAACTTCTTATGCGAACTGTTTTGACCCACAAAACCAAATGCGAACTCAATTGTTGTCATATGCGAACTGATTTCATAGATGCGAACACAATTGATTTCATATGCGAATCCACATCCATCGATATGAAACCAATACCAGTTACAAGCAATTAGTAGCAACCATCGATCCTCTAATTTTCAAGAACTCAGCCTTCGCTTTTCATACAACCCGTCGACCCTGAAAAATCGATAAACACCAAATGTCTCATTTTTAGATCGATTTTCTGATTAAATGTCATATTTGAAGAATGATCGATTTTCTGATTAAATGACCCCATTTTGCGAAGTTGGACCACTTATATTATTTCTTGAAAAGATCAGGTGCCAAATGCGAAACTCTAAGCTTTCTTCCCCAATTCGCATTTATACATTAAAAACTTCGCATTTTCATTCAAATTCTTCGCATCTTGCATCCATCCGTCTTTGAGTTCATTCGCATTTCATCGCATTAACTGAGAAATTAATCAGTTGTCTCATATTCGCATTTCAGTTGTTTGAGAAACCCAGATACGAACCCAAATGCGAAACCCACTAATTTCAAATGCGAACCAACCAAAAATCATCAACCACGTACTTGTGTCACCAAATGCGAACTGAATATCACCATTAAATTCTCCTCGCATTCTATAGATGCGAACACAATCCAGATCTCCGACTCCAAGCTTGCGAAATCAAAATCAATTAACCTCAAACAAATCGTGAACTTCTTATGCGAACTGTTTTGACCCACAAAACCAAATGCGAACTCAATTGTTGTCATATGCGAACTGATTTCATAGATGCGAACACAATTGATTTCATATGCGAATCCACATCCATCGATATGAAACCAATACCAGTTACAAGCAATTAGTAGCAACCATCGATCCTCTAATTTTCAAGAACTCAGCCTTCGCTTTTCATACAACCCGTCGACCCTGAAAAATCGATAAACACCAAATGTCTCATTTTTAGATCGATTTTCTGATTAAATGTCATATTTGAAGAATGATCGATTTTCTGATTAAATGACCCCATTTTGCGAAGTTGGACCACTTATATTATTTCTTGAAAAGATCAGGTGCCAAATGCGAAACTCTAAGCTTTCTTCCCCAATTCGCATTTATACATTAAAAACTTCGCATTTTCATTCAAATTCTTCGCATCTTGCATCCATCCGTCTTTGAGTTCATTCGCATTTCATCGCATTAACTGAGAAATTAATCAGTTGTCTCATATTCGCATTTCAGTTGTTTGAGAAACCCAGATACGAACCCAAATGCGAAACCCACTAATTTCAAATGCGAACCAACCAAAAATCATCAACCACGTACTTGTGTCACCAAATGCGAACTGAATATCACCATTAAATTCTCCTCGCATTCTATAGATGCGAACACAATCCAGATCTCCGACTCCAAGCTTGCGAAATCAAAATCAATTAACCTCAAACAAATCGTGAACTTCTTATGCGAACTGTTTTGACCCACAAAACCAAATGCGAACTCAATTGTTGTCATATGCGAACTGATTTCATAGATGCGAACACAATTGATTTCATATGCGAATCCACATCCATCGATATGAAACCAATACCAGTTACAAGCAATTAGTAGCAACCATCGATCCTCTAATGAGGAAACAGTTTCCTATTCGATTGTGCTTTGCAATGACAATCAATAAAGATCAGGGACAAACAATTCCATATGTAGGTATCTATCTTCCAGAATTTAGGCTTATTATTGTTTTTAGGATTATACTGTTCCTTAATTACATTTGTCTATCCTTCTATTGTTGAAAATGCCAATAATCGATGTTTTTCCAAGAAAGAGCAATCCTTGCACCGAAAAATGAAGTTGTTCAAGAAATAAACAATCGTTTGTTAAAATTATTTCCTGGAGATGAAAAAGAATACTTAAGTTCAGCAGTCTTTGTCAATCGGAGTTTGTACACGATGACTTTGACGAATCTTTATACACTCCTGATGTTCTAAATGGCCTTAGACCTTCAGGTATGCCAATTCATAAATTGGTATTAAAAGTCGGTGTTCCAGTTATGTTATTGAGGAATATTGACCAAAAATACGGTTTGTGTAATGGAACAAGGCTACGAGTTATAGCATTGGGTAAGCGTGTTATAGAAGCAGAGATTATTTCTGGAAGTAATATAGGAAAACGTACGTTTATTCCAAGAATGTCACTGACCCCTTCGGATAAAAGGATTCCTTTCACATTTCAGCGAAGACAGTTTCCACTTGCTGTATGCTTTGCGATGACAATAAACAAAAGTCAAGGACAGTCGCTATCAAAGGTTGGTTGTTTTTAAGACAACCAGTGTTTACTCATGGACAGTTGTATGTTGCATTGTCTAGAGTTAAAAGCAGAGATGGATTGAAAATATTAATTTAGACAACGAAGGAAACCCTACCAATAAGACATCTAATGTTGTATTCAAAGAAGTATTTGGAAATTTGTGATTTGTAAAAATATTTAATTAGAACATTTCATTAATGATTTCTTTTTGGTATTTTGAGTTCAATTACACACTTATTCAATAAACTTTTCACTTATATGTGTTGTATTATTTTAATAATTCGTTGATGTTCGAAATTTTATATTATTTTTTTCAAGAAACCCGTGTAACACACGGGTATTACACCTAGTGGTGAATAATCATAAATGTATGTATAGCCAAAACCAAAGAAAGTCCGTTTGGGCGGAGAATTCAATCTGTGAGCATCATAGATTTCATCGACACCCCTCCCCTCTTTCTTCTCTTACTTGTACTACTTCATTGCTCTCACACTCTCTCGCTCAACCGCTACGCCTAATTCTTGAATTTTTGCCTGCCTCTCGATAATTTCGGAGTGAGTTGCCTTCTTACATATACACTCTTCATTCCTTCTTAATTTTGATTCCGATTTCCTCTCTAACAAGTTGGATCTTACTTTCAAGTGTAGTTGCTTGCTCATCGCTATTACAAATCTATAAATGTGTATTCATGTTCTTGTCGATACAATCCTGATCTTGTCTGTTCCTTTTGCAGCGCTTGATATACGACATGGATTCCGCCGCCATGACATTTGCAGTAAACCAATCACCTCCCCTCCGGTATGCTCAGCCACTCTCCTTTTTTGCAATCCAGCTCTTTGGTAGCTACATGTATTCAAAATTGTATCACTGTCTGTATGCTTCGAATACCGGATGTTAGATAAGTATTATAATCGTATGGGATAGTTTTATCTTTTATTTCGGTGGATTCAATGTGTGCCGTGTGGTCACTGTGCGTGTAAATCAACGAGGCTGATGGTTGATGCAAGCGTTCTGTGGTAGTAATTTGATGAATATCGGCCTTGGATTGCAAATTTCTTTCTAGATGCTATTGGAATTACTTTGGCTATGCATGAGTGTTTTTTTTTAAAATGATGTTCAAAACACTGCTTTGATTAATGGTGTAGTTGAGATTTCATCTCATGTCGTCATTTATGTTCCATTTCGATATATTTCAATGAAAAAAACTGATATACTATGTGTGAAGATTGCTAAATGAACATGTTCTGAACAACAATCAATGTGCTATATTTCATGTCTGCTAGCCCTGTTGTGTATATGTAATATGTGGACCAGATATTATTTCTTATATTGAGTGAACATATATGATTCTACTTTGTCGATATAGCATTGATGTACGATTTTTTTATCTCTCTAATATTTCGATTTTGTGACCTTGCTTTGTTTAATACATTTTATCAATGCTTTTGTTTAATACATGTTTTCATTTCGACACATGAGCTCCGGTAAATGTTTTTTGTTAGATAACTAGCTAATGATAGTCCAATTTGCAAAGGTAATGGCTGATCAATTGTCTTGACTGCAATCCAATCACCACTAATCTCATCTCTCTGGGCCTTTCTTGGTAATTTGATGTTAACTGTCATTCATTCGACAAATGCGAAACTCTAAGCTTC